TATTGCCTGCATGTAGGTAAGTGCACCCGTGTCATGCAATGCCCACAGAGGACAGAAGAGGCTGTCAGATCCCCTGGAAGTGGAGTTATGGACAGTTGTTAGCTGCCATGTGGGTGCTGAGATTCGAACCCGGGTCTTCTGTAAAAACAACCAGTGTTCTTAGCCACTAAGCCATCTCTCCAGCTGTCATAACCTACAAATTCTTAATTAAACAAAGAAATACACTCTAAAATTCACAAAGTTCTATATGTTTGACATCTTTGCACATTTTCCCCCATTGTAATAGCCCAAACTCCTCCGTTTTATGTACGTTTAACTAGTCAAGACTGTTAAATCTAGTCTGTTGAAAGAATCACCTTTCCAGTTTCACTGGTCAATCATCTGGTCATTAGGAACACCTCTAGGAACGTGGGTTCACCCTATTTTATGCTAAATAGATGGGTGGAATACTTAGTGTGTTAATGAGATGGCAAATTTTTCCTGCCTGGAATCCTGCCTTCTAGCGCAGAACTTCTGGACCAGCCATGGTCATGTAGTCTGTAAGTCTTCTCACTTTTCTGAATTCTTCAAAAAAGCATAATTTCTCCTTTTCTTTTTCATATGCCTTTTCTAAACATGCTTTTTTTAAGGCTTTGGGCTGCCCCTAGCATCTTGTATTTCTTTATCTTTTCTAAAGCTTCCTTCTCCCAGCCATGTGGCTTGCCAGTCAGCCACGTGTCTAACCTCCAAGCAGGCTGTAAACCTGCATGGTTTCGTGGCTTTCTTTCCTTCTCCCGACCATTCTCCTCCTCAAGGCAGCTGCCAAGATTACCAGCTTGCCTGCCCCCCTGAGGATTTTTCTTTAAAATTCTAATAAAATTGTAAAAGCTTAAATCTTGTACCAAGGACTTTACCTTTTGGACTTTACCTTTAAAAAGCTCCTGTCTACTCCCAATTAGGACAGCATTCCATAAATTGGCTCAGAGAGTGCTGTTCCTGCCCAGCTAAATAGACTTGGCTGATTTGGAACTTTTTCAGTCTGAGTGGTCCTTCCTGGTGTTCCAGACAGACTAGATTTTATAGTCTTGACCAGTTAAACTTACACAATATGGAGGAGCTTGGGCACGATCAATCAAGTGCAAAAGAATAAGTTCGTTACTGTTTTAGAAATGCAAGTCAATATTTACCTCACTCTAAGACCAAGGACCTTTTTTAAATTAATTAATTAATTTATTTATTTATTTATATTTAGAAGAAGCATTTCATTACAGCTTTAACATACTCAATAACAATTTCAGAGCAAAGATATATCTCTTTCAAAAGTGGCTATAAAATTTTTAGGTTCGCTGTTGAATTAATAGTTATACAATACTGAACACAGTATAAGCCCTGTAAGACATAAAATTGAAGTTCCTTGCAGACAGACTCTTTGCTTTTGCTACTAACACTGAGATGTTGGCTCTTGCATCTCTAATCGGTATGTATCTGATTATTACTAGTCATAATCAGTTGCACTCGGATCCTTGGCACCTGTGTATGTCTGTAAAGTCATCGGGTAGATTTCAAAGGTAATGTTTATCACCTTTACTAATTAACATTATGTAACTTTTTATGCTTCCTCCTCAAATAATATTCATTTTTTATAATTTGTTGATTTTGTGTGTGCGTGTGTGTGTACATCACACAGAACATCCCAAAACCATCTTATTCAACTATACACCCACTTCCCAGATGGCACCCTTCCATAGCCTCCCTTCCCCCCACTAGAGCCCTTATACTCTGATATCCCTGCTACTCTCCACCATCTGGTTTATCTAGTCAGCCTATCTAGAGGTCTTTGTTTTAGGAAGGTCAGCTGTTCCTCATCTAGCAGCAATCGGTTGTCAATATTCTTTTAGATAAGATTGGGGTAAGACCAAGGACTTTTTAAAAAGTGAAAACAAAGACATGAGAAATAAGAATGAAATGGTTTGAAGAAGAATACAGTGAGTTGTTTTAGTGGGCCTCCTCAGAGGTCTACACATGCACAGAAAGTCATACTGCCATTCATGTATTTCTTGATGAAGATGAGGCAGGACTTTATAAATGCTTTTTTCCTCTTTTGATTTTGGCATTACAGATTTGGACTTATTTCTCTTGTTTCATTGAAACACTACTTTTCCCTAAATCATCCTCTGATGTGTTTTTATAATTGGGAGTTTTCTGTGCTTTTTTGTTTCATTTTGGTTTGGTTTTTGAGAGAGTCTTGGTATACATGGTCCAGGCTGGCCTTAAGTTCACAGTGATCCACTTGCTTTAGCCTGTGTACTGGGATTAGTGTGCACCACAGCACCTGGCTTTAATTTATGCCAAATTAGCACATATATGGTTTTTAGAGTCAAAAGTTTTACAAATCTTGAAGAAAATTAAGTTACTTTCTCTAGCTCCCCTCGCCACTCAGCAATAACCTCTAGAAGAAATCACTTTCGACTCCTCTAGCTCTCCTTTGACCTTAGTTTATCCGTGTAACACATGGTTTACTGATTTTCTATTTGGAAAGAGGAAAATTTAGTACATGTACACACACACGGCCTTCTTCCATTTTCCTCTCCCTCCATCTACCCAAAAGAATAACATCGCAATGCTTGGTACAAATCATTATTCAATGTTCAGTTTTATTATGACTATATAAATACAAGGAGTTTTGTTTGGTTTGAGAGTTTTGTTTTCCTTTGTTTTCTACCACTCAGTACCTATATTTCCTCTTTTTAAAAACATTTCATTTTTCTTGTAGTTAGCAATTGCCTTGCTTCTTGCTTGCTTAGTTTTTAATGACTAGATCACTAGTTCTTACCAAGTCAAATTAATTTAGAAAACGCACACACACACACACACACACCACACACACACCACACACACACACACATTTTCTGTTTGTTTCTTTTTACAATATCACCCTCCTGGTCTAATCTAGTTGCTCTCAAGTCTTGCTTCCTGTCTTACAGAAATTTCACTTCACCTCTCTCCTGTGTTGACTTCTTGATTCCTGTTTGTTCTGTTTTTGAATTAAGCATGTCTAATCCTCCTGAGGAAAGTTACAGAGAAGTTAAATGAGATCATGTAGTCTCAAAAAGACTTTATTTTGATTTCATATTTGATATACAGACTTGCTAAAAATAGAAGTTAAAGTTTAAAAAAATGTTTTCCAGCTGTTTGAAGTAGTGACTCAGGCCTCTAATCTCAGCAGTTAGGAGGTTGAAGCAGGAAGATCGACATGAGTTGGAGACTAGGATGGGCTACTTAGGAAGTTCCAGGCCAGCCTGGCCTACAGTGTAAGATCCTGTCTCAAAAAATAAGAAAAAAGAAAGTTTTCATTGCAACTTTGAAGTCATGGTTTCATTGAGTCCTAATTTCAAGTGTTGCAATACAGGATTTCAATGCCATTGAGTTTATCTTTACTAATAGCTTTTTCTCTTCCAATTGTCCTAGAATTCTATCTTTATCTTTGCTTCTCTGAAATGATATAGTGATATACTTGATGTGAGCCATTTTTATTCACTCTTTCTCTCTAACAACCCCCATCCTTCTGTGATCTGCTTTGATTTTTTTTTCAATGATTTACCTAGAAAACACAACATGCATATTAAAAATATCCAAGTTTAAAGGTAATCAATATTGTTACCTAAGAGGTGAGTTATCATGAAGGAAGTAGATTTCAAGTTTCAAGAACTCTCACTTGCCTAATAGTCTCCCAATCCTAGTAAAACCCAAGCAATGTATCCGCCTTGCTATATATTTTGATTAAAAAATTTTGGAGAAAACTCAGGACATTTTCAGTGATTAAAAATCCCCATCTCCTTCTTCTCCTACCTACATGCTCACAGTGTGTCTTGCTATATTGGAATGCCTGCAGGTGCTTGGAGAATCTGGCTGAAGAAAACTGAGTTGATAATGCATTAGGTTAATGTAGGGGGATTTATTTAAAAGGTCTGATTGAATATTTAAGATTAATAAATGGAACAGCCACAATGCTCTGGTAGTTTGCCTAATCTTAATAGCTCGTATACAGTCAATGCTCCATTTCCACTGGTTTTGCATCTGTGGAGTCAACCAATAACAGATTGAAAACATTTGAAGAAAAGCTGAAATCTGGTGCAACGGCACTCTCCTGCAATCCTACGACAGATAAGGAAAATCCCATTGTGTATATGCACATTTCCACATTATCTATTCATCTGTTGATGGACACCATGGCGGCTCTATTTCTCTACTGTTGTGAATAGAGAAGTAATAAACATGTAAGTGCCAGTATCTCTGTGATCCACGAGTGGTGTGGCCAGACATGGTAATTCTGTCTTTAATTTTTTTTTTTTTTTTTTTTTTTTTAAGCTTGAGGATGATTTTATTGAAGTTTTAGGGGAAAACGACAGAACAGGCAGGATGAAAATCCCAGACTTTGCCAGGAGGAGGAGAGACAGAGAAAAAGGCATGTCTTTTAAGTTAGGCATTGAGGCAGAGAAACAGTGAGAGTGTCAGAGAAAATGCTTAGGAGTGCCTTTGGTCTGAGTTTAAAGGACACCTGGCCCAGGCTCTTGTGTCCCAGGAAAAAAGGACTACACCAGGGACACATGATAAGAAACAGAAATAGAGACAGCTTATTAAGAAAGGAAAAGCACTCCTGAGGATGGGTGAATGAGCTAAGGAAAGACCAAAAAGCTCTATCTCCATCCATACAGATGTCCAAAATCAATGTACTAGTTTATACCTCTTTTACCATACGTTCACCAGCATCGTCAGATTTCTTGATGAGATCCTTTCTGACTGAAGTGAGATGAAATCTCAAAGTAGTTTTAATTTGTATTTCCCTGATGATTAAGGATGTGGGTCACATTTAAGATACTTGTTGGCCATTTGTGTTTCTTTTGTTGAGAACTGTTTGTCAATTTCATTAGCCCATTTTTTGACTGGTAGCTTGGGGGTCAGCATTTGATTTTCACAGTTCTTGGTAAATTCCAGATATTAGCTCCCTGTCTGAAGTATAGCTGGTAAGGATTTTCTCCCATTCTATAAGCTGTCTGTTCTGCTGATAGTTTCCTTTGATACGCAGACACTTTTTAATTTCATGTAGTCCCATTTCTTAATTCTTGGGGCTACTTCTGAGCTATTGGAGTTCTGTCCAGAAAGTTCTTGCCTATACCAATATCTTTTTCTTTTAATATTTTATGTATTATTTTTATTATATGTGTATGAGTGTATTGCCTGCACATATAAGTAGATGCACCCATGTCGTACAATGCCCACAGAGGTCAAAAGAGGGTATTGGATCCCTTGGAACTGGAGTTACAGGCTGTTGTTAGCTGCCATGTGGGTGCTGAGAATCGAATCCAAGTCCTGTGCAAGAGCACCCAATGCTCTTAACCACTGAGCCATCTCTCCAGTTCGTAAGCCAGAATCTTAAAGAGCATTGCCTGAGTTTTCCTCTAGCAATTTCAGCATTTCAGATTTTAAATTAAGGTCTTTGATCCATTTTGAATTGATTTTTACGCAGTGTGAAAAATACAGATTTAACTTCATTCTTCTGCAGGTAGATACCAATTTTGCCAGCACCATTTCTTGAACACACTGTATTGTTTCCGCTGCATGTTTTTAACACCTTTGACAAAAATTAGGTGGCCATATATTTGTCTGTTTATTTCCAGGCCCTCTATTCTGCTCCATTGTCTGTTTTTATGCCATTACCAGATTGTCTTTGTTAAGACACCTCTGTTCTGTAGTGATACCCAGCTGTGTTCTTTCTCCTTAGGACTGTTTTGGCTATTTGTGGTGTTTTATAGTTCCATATGAACTCCTGGATGTTTTTTCTAGTTCTGTGAAGGATGATTGGAATTTAGATGGGAATGACACGGAATCTGTAGATTAGTTTTGGTAATCCAGCCATTTTTACCATGTTAGTTTTGCTGAGTCAGGACAGAAATTACTTTTCAGTGTCTTGAAGTTTTCATTGTAGAGGTCTCTCACTTCCTTGATTAGGTTTATTCCCAAGTACTTTTTACTGTTTTCTGATCTATTTTGAATGGGATCTTTTTTCTAATTTCTTTTTCTGTGAATTCAATGTTGGCATATACAAAGGCTACTGATTTTTATATATTAATTTTGTAGCCTACAACTTTAATGGGAGTGTTTATCAGATCTAAGAGTTTATGGTAGAGTCTATGGGTTCTTTTAAGTATGGAATCGCATTACCTGAAAACAGGTATAATTTGACTTCTTCCTCTCCTGTTTTTTACCCCTTTGTGTCTTTCTCTAGTATTACCTTCTGGCTAAGACTTTGGGCACTATACTGAATCAGAGAGGCAAGAACGGGCATCCTTGTTTCAGTCCCAATTTTTTTAGAAGAAACGCTTTCTGTTTGCTGTTTAGTACAGTATTGCCTATAGCTTTCTTGTATATGGCCTTCATTATTTTGAGGTATGATCTCTCTGTTCCTAATCTCTCCAGGACTCATTATGAAGCATGTTGAACTTTGTCAAATCTTTTCACCATCATTGAGATGATCATGAGATTTCTGTCCTTAAGTTTATCTGTATGATGTATTACAGTTATTGATTTCCGTATGTAGAACTAATCTTGCATCTCTGGAATGAAGCCACTTGGTCACGATGTATGATCTTCTTAATGTTATAACATAACTTTTTTATATCTTGAATTATTTCTATGATTATCAAAAAGCATAAAGAAGATGAAAATAAAATCACTCAAAATTCCATAACCCATAGCAGCCACACTTAACATTTTGACATATTCTCTTCCAGTTATGTTTCTTTCTAATCATCTCATTATATCCTTAAAAGTATACTGATAGGCAGGCAGATCTCTGTAAGTTCGAAGCCAGCCTGGTATATATAGCGAGTCCTACAGGGAGACCCTATTTCTTTGAGACCAAAAAAAAAAGAGTATACTGATGAGAAAAAGTGCTTTTTGCTTAAATTAAATTTCATAATTACTTTCATATATCATTAAAACTTCTTTGTAAACACTCTATGAGCTATATGACATTAATTCTAAATGTTTGCAGAAATCTACCACCTTCTCTGCTGTTACACAATTGAATGGTTTTTCCTTTTTTGCTGGTTTTTAAAATATTTTATTTATTTTAATTTATTTTTTATGTATATGGGTGTATTGTCTGCATATGTATAAGTGCACCCGTGTCATGCAATGCCCATGGAAGCCAGAAGAAGGCATCGAATTCCCTGGAACTGGAGTTATAGATGGTTGTTAGTCACCATGTGGGTGCTGGGAATCAAACCCAGGTTGTCTGCAAGAGCAGTCAGTGCTCTTAACCACTGAGCCATCTCTCCAGCCCCAGTTTTTAATGAACTTACTTTAAATTATTTCCTCAAGTAAAATGCTATGCATGAGTATGAAATCATAACATGAAGATGTAAAAGATTATTCATTGCATAGCTTTAATAGTCAGATATTTTTAAATAAATTAATACGAACAATAAAGAGTATGTTAAATGAATTATAGCATATCTATAATGTTATTAATATTGGTCCTGTGATAAAGAAGAATGCCAGAACTCTGTCTGCACTGATGTGGACAGATCTC